TAGGAGGGTAAATATATAATTGAAACTATACCTTTACTTTGCATCACCTCACAGAGGAGGGTAAGTATATAATTGAAACTATACCTTTACTTTGCAGCACCTCACAGAGGAGGGTAAGTATATAATTGAAACTATACCTTTACTTTGCAGCACCTCACAGAGGAGGGTAAGTATATAAAATGCACGGGATAAATAGCTTTTAGGTGTTTTTAAGGGACTTATAAATCTTATATAATTTATCATGACTTGTTTTTACATATGATAGAAACTGTTTCATGTATTTTATTTTAGACTTCACAAGGTAGAATCTATAAATGTGTTATGATTGTATATATTATCTATAATCAGCAGTATAGAAACACCATGAACATATATCAGAGTGTAAGGTATTATTTCTGATGTAGAGACATCTTACAAACAAAAGTTGTTACGAGAGTACGAAAGGTACGAAGAACTCCAGAAACAGAGCCAACTTATGCAAGATTCGTATGAGCAACAGATTCAGGAAATGGAAACAACACATCAGAAGGCTGTACAGGAATTGGTAGATTACTATGAACACAGTCTCACTGAAAGAGAAACAAAACTTGAACAGGTACTGAATTTTAACAAAAAAATATAAAATGAATTCAGAATACAATAAAAGCAACTTTTACAGTAGATCTTTTGTTTGAATAATTAAAATATTTGACCCACAGTATTGAGTATTAATCAAGTAAGAGTTACATTGAAGGTAACTATGACTTGATGATGACTCAGTACTGCAAGTAACTTCATACACTGATTATACTTGTGAAAACAATCAGGCTTACTGCAACGTGATTTATCTCATAGCTAGTGTTCTAGATCTGAATTATGGTTTTTTTGGTTGTAAGAAGATCATACCTGACTGGAAGAATTGAAATTTACCTTAAGAAATAGTATCATTAATGCTGCTTTGGAAAAAGTTGATAGTCTTCCTGATACAGAACCAATTGAAAGGGTAGGCAGCAGCACTGTTGTATAACAGACTGATTAAAGCAAAGAACCAGCCTCTACAGAAAAGTGCACCAGCAACAATCCAAAGAAACCAGTCCTCAGCCTACAACAATCTATTTTCTCAGAGCTATAGCTGTAGTATTCACTGCCTGCTATTGACTCTTGCACCTATTGCACTTCCAGCTGAAACCTATAGCCTTATCAGCAAAGTAGGAGCTGTTGATTAGAAGGTGACTTAATGTTCCATAATCAAAATATATGTTTTCTTCTCCAATCTAGGATGACATCATGGGACGAGGAATCAGCAGCACGTGTTGTGACATATACACCACGGGAGGCCTGGGATGGACCTGTCTGTCCACTGTGGCAGCCTTGGTTACCTCTTGGCTGGATTCAAATCTAATATGATGTTAGTGCCTGGGTAGGGTGATTTGTTTGAGGTATGATCACTGCAATTGCTGTCTATCCTACTACTGACTCAAAGTTATTACCTTCTAATATATTAAACTGCTTCTACATGGGTGAAAAAGGTTCTCATAACCAGGTGGTGCTGTGTCTTCTCACTCAATAGACCTTCCACAGACTTGTTTATCAAGATATCATTACAATCTGCTGAGTCCATTGCAGGGTAAGCTTTACTATGCAAATGGTATAGATCAACTGATCTATGAATTACACTCAGTGGATTGCTCTATTTTATGCTGGGTTGAACCTCAGACACAACTTGATTATGAATGTCTTTCAGTCCCAGAGTTGCTCCACATCCAAATGCTTAGTGGAGTCTAGGACTAAACCACCTGACTGAAATAATTGTTACAATTCAAGATATGTATTAGTGGAACAATACATTTTGATGGCTGAAATAATTGTTACAATTCAAGATATGTAGTAATGGATCAATACATTTTGATGGCTGAAATAATTGTTGCAATTCAAGATTTGTAGTAATGGATCAATACATTTTGATGGCTGAAATAATTGTTACAATTCAAGATATGCAGTAATCGATCAATGCATTTTGATGGCTGAACTAATTGTTACAATTCAAGATATGTATTAATGGATCAATGCATTTTGATGGCTGAAATAATTGTTACAATTCAAGACACGTATTAGTGGATCAATGCATTTTGATGGCTGAAATAATTGTTACAATTCAAGATTTGTAGTAGTGGAAGTATTTAGTTATGGTTGTAAAATACATTTTCTTGTCTCACTTGTAGCAGTTTATATTATGTGTTGTATGTAGTGACTTTCTGGTAATTAGAATGAGATTATAGAAGTGTAATAAGGTTAATATTGTTTTGTTGTATATATATATATATATATATATATATCCGTTTTGATTCACAAAAGTTGGTCATGTATGTATAGCTTATAGTTTGATTAACAACAGTTAACCAAATAATACGTATGGTACAAATTGTAAAAAACATTCACAGGACTTAAAGCTAAATATTTATTTTTCATTCAAAAGTTCAGAAAGAAATAGATTATTCCATAGAAAGATCTTTTAAAATGTCTTAACATGCTTTTCTTGCCAATATATGTATATTTTTATGTTAAGTTTCTGATTGCTTGTTCACTCGGTCATTGCTTTGTTTCCTTGTGATATTAGGCTAAAGATGAAGCTCAACTGAAACAACGAGAAGAAGAGGAGCTTAGGAAATTGATTGAAGAAGAGGCGGATGATGAAATTGTTCAGCTTCGAACCAACTATGAAAGGCAGCTGAGGCAAGAGAAAGAAACCAACATGCAATTACTTGGAGATAATTCTATATTAAAGAAAAAGGTTTGAAAAAACACAGAAGTTGAATAAAATGTTTAAAAAAAGACAAATAATTATTCAGTGTTTTCATACACTATATTATATAGTGTACAAACTAATTTTTAAAGATTTTATTTTTACCTCATGCAATGTTAATAGTTTTTTAAGGAGAATGTTCTGATTTTAATTACTGTAGTAGTTTGAGTTGCTAAAAAAATGTGTCTTACTAGCAAGTGATAGGATCTGCCCTTTAGCTCAATTGGTAGATCACTTGCCTGTGTGCAAGAGGTCAACGATGAGGGAATATATCATGAAAAAAATGAAAATACCACATTGGTGTTGAAAATGGAACCATCCCACAACCCTGAAATTAGACTCGAGAATGGGCCTTGCTTGTGAGAAGGAAAAAATGTAGTAGTTTGAGTTGTTAAAAAACAAAGTGCTTTATTAACAAGTGCTAGGGTCTGCCCTTTAGCTCAGTCTGGTCTTGAGTTCAAGTCTGAGCTGAGAAAATATATTATGGTTGAAAAACACAAAGTTTTCATAACACACTTGGTGTTATGCACAATGCACTACCATCAACATCTTTAGATAGTGTTATGTTTTCATTTTTTTTTACAAAGGGTTACTTTGACTGCAGTATTGCATATTATTTATGGTGAAAGGACAAACTAGACTCTTTGTTTGTAAAGATTAGAGTTCATATTATGTTTGGAAAATTATGGTACAGGAAAAAGTAATGCACTATCTGTCAAAAGATGACAGCACAATTGTAATACTTAATCTAATCAAAAAGATGTGACCAAAGAAAAAAAGAATTATGACAGAAAGATATGAAATCAAATTGTGGCTAAAATGAGAAAAATATTGATGATTAAAATTTTATGTAAACTTTTGTGCCTATGAATTCAAAATTTGTAAAGTAGGCATGTCTACTACAAGAAATCACATGGGCTGCTGCTTTATGTTTAGCTAAGCACCGAAATAAAAAAGCAGCCCCTGTGATTCTTATTAGTTTGATTTAAGTTTAATGTACAGTAGTATGCAAAACTCATGCCAAAAAGTTTACATGATGGTGGTTTTGGACCCATAACTTCTGGAATTTGCATCCAAAGTTTATAAAATTAAGAATGGTCAACTTTTAAGAATACCCTACTGTGTGGTAGAAATTTCAGCCTGGTCGATTTATCCAACATTTTTCCAGGTGGGCACAAAAATTTCAAGATTTTAGCATAAGTTTTTCCCATATCTCCGAGAATACTTAAACTACTACAATCAAATTTGCTGCCAACAGGAGAAGATATATATCAGCTATGTACCATATTTGAAGGAAATCAATTACTGGAAAGTTTGTTTATTTCACTGGTGCAAAGAAGAAAACAAACAATTCCAGGCAAACTTTGGCCTGCTGTAAATCAATAAGGGTTAAAGCAATTTGCAATTTAGATCTATCATATAAAAAATCGGAGATTATACAGGAAGTAACCCTTAGAGTGTCTTTAGTATCTCTTAATTATGTGTTCACCATAGTGCTTGCTTTCTTTGCAATCACAGCTTACAAGTAAACCTTGTAAAAATGGTAGCGTGTCCATAAAATCACTAAAAGTAAGTTTGCTTTAGTGCTTGCTTTCTTTGCAATCAAAGCTTACAAGTAAACCTTGTCAAAATGATAGTGTCCATAAAATCACTAAAAGTAAGTTTGCTTTAGTGCTTGCTATGTTTGCAATTACAGCTTACATATAAACCTTGTAAAAATGGTAGCGTGTCCATAAAATCACTAAAAGTAAGTTTGCTTTAGTGCTTGCTATGCTTGCAATCACAGCTTACATATAAACCTTGTCAAAATGGTAGCGTGTCCATAAAATCACTAAAAGTAAGTTTGTTTTAGTGCTTGCTATGTTTGCAATTACAGCTTACAAGTAAACCTTGTCAAAATGGTAGCGTGTCCATAAAATCACTAAAAGTAAGTTAGCCTTAATGTTTGCTATGTTTGCAATCACAGCTTACATATAAACCTTGTCAAAATGATAGTGTGTCCATAAAATCACTAAAGTAAGCTTGCCCTTATGCTTGCTATGTATGTACTTGCAGCTGGCAAGTAATGGTTCTCAAAAACCAGTTTACAACTGGGGTTCATTAATCATGGTCGTCTGCAACAGCTGTGTTGCAATGAGGTACGTGTAGTTTATTCTGAAACATCTTATTTACAAATACACCTAATAACAGAAATCCTCTTAACTCTCTTACTACAGGCTTAGTTGATCCTACTGACCACATGACCCCAAGTTAACCTTCAGAGTTTCCATACTATAACCATCAATATGTTTTCTATATCTTCTCAACATTTTTCAAACATCTAGTAAATGTTAACAGATTATTGCAGACAACAAAATCTGAATTTTTTATGAAGTATTGTAACTAAACTTTTGTCCCTCAATAAATAGAGTAAGAGCATTGATTGCCCCAAGTGCAAAATGATTTTCATATTAAGATTAAATATACTTTTCTTCATCTGAAAATTTTCAAATTTCTTTTGTATAATATCTAAAACCTCCTAAATATCTATACCCTGTATATGGAAATGGGACAAAAATGCAGCATGTATTATATTCAAAGGAAATCTCTCCCAAAGAATGTCACGTGGTCACAAGGTGTTATCATCTCTACACATGAAAAGTGATGGGTGGATGAAGGTTTGACTGAAGACTGGTTGCGTATCATGTGGTGTGAAAGCTCCTCACATGAACTCATATACTGTTCCTTTATGCTTTCACATGTCATAGAATGACATGCATCAAGGATATTCTGGAGGAGAATTGCACAGATCTTGTCATCATTCCAAGGGGAATGACAGGCCAGATGAAAGTGATGGTTGTCAGCTGCAACCAACTGTTTAAGTAGCAAATATCCAAAAGTGGAATGAGTGGCTCAACTCTGAATTTACACTGTCAGGTGACCAGAAGAAACCAGACCTATTGCTCATTGCCAAATGGATCAGAGAAGCCTGGGATGTCATTGATCCAGCCCTGATTGAGCATGGCTTTAAGAAGTGTTGTCTCACAGATGTCATGGACGGTTCAGAAGACGACTTCCTCTAGGATGACAACACTGCTGCAGTAGATAATGCAGATGATGTCCACAGTGATGCTATTTATGATGATAATGAGAAGTTGTGTCAACTATTCAAGGACCAGGATTCAGACTTGGAATTTGAAGGTTTCACCAAAAACAATTTGTAGTTTTGAATATCTAATATAATGCTGCAATAACTAGTTTTATATTTCCAAACACTTCTAATTATGTACGTAAATAAATCTTAAAAATCACAAGACTTATCTTGTTGATCATTTCATTTCAAAAATCATGTTTTTAAAGGTAGTGAATATGAATAAATATGGGAGACAATTCTTGTTTATACCTGAGAAACAGAAACAATTCATAAATCATACCATTCAAATGTAATATTTCTGATAAGTATGCATTACTGTTCACAACATGTGACAGAAAAGATGGTCTGGACTGGCTGGAAAAAAACAACAAAATTACATTTAAATTTGTTATCATATATTGTACACTGCCTAACTTCTATATAAATTTATGGTAATTAAATTGATTATACTTGTATATTGCAGCTTTTACTAAAATGCAAAATAGGCTCATAAACTTCATTTCTTTTATGATAGTTTACATCCCAGCAAAGAGATGTTGAAGAACACAAGAATGAAATCCAACGACAACATGCAGAACAACAGAAACTTCAGGGAATCATAAAAAATCTAGATAAAGATATTCACAGTTTGAAGCGTGAGGTTCAGGAGAGAGATGAAACAATTCAGGACAAGGTTAGTTGATAAAGATATTCATAGATTGAAGCACGAGGTTCAGGAGAAAGATGAAACAATTCAGGACAAGGTTAGTTGATAAAGATATTCATAGATTGAAGCACGAGGTTCAGGAGAGAGATGAAACAATTCAGGATAAGGTTAGTTGATAAAGATATTCACAGTTTGAAGCGTGAGGTTCAGGAGAGAGATGAAACAATTCAGGGCAAGATTAGTTGATAAAGATATTCATAGATTGAAGCACGAGGTTCAGGAGAGAGATGAAACAATTCAGAATAAGGTTAGTTGATAAAGATATTCATAGATTGAAGCAAGAGGTTTAGGAGAGAGATGAAACAATTCAGGACAAGGTTAGTTTTAGCATGAGATTCAGGAGAATATTGATCATAGTACTTTATCCTATATAGTTATGAGTACAAACAGTGACAGCTAGACCTTAATCAAGTTGACTCTTAAAATTACACTAGACCTGAATTAAATTGACTCTTAAAATGGTAGCTAGACTTGAATCAAGTTGACTCTTGAATTGACCACTAGACATGAGTTAACTTCATTCTTAAAATTACAACTAGATCTGATTCATGCTTACTTATGGAATTACAGCTAGACCTGAATCAAGTTGACTTTTAAAATGTTAGTGAGACTTGAACCAAGTTGTCTCTTAAAATGTTAGTGAGACTTGAACCAAGTTGTCTCTTAAAATGTTAGTGAGACTTGAACCAAGTTGTCTCTTAAAATGTTAGTGAGACTTGAACCAAGTTGTCTCTTAAAATGTTAGTGAGACTTGAACCAAGTTGTCTCTTAAAATGGTAGAGAGACTTGAACCAAGTTGTCTCTTAAATTGGTAGTGAGACTTGAACCAAGTTGTCTGTTAAAATGGTAGTGAGACTTGAACCAAGTTGTCTTTTAAAATGGTAGTGAGACTTGAACCAAATTGTCTCTTAAAATGGTAGTGAGACTTGAACCAAGTTGTCTCTTAAAATGGTAGTGAAACTTAAACCAAGTTGTCTCTTAAAATGACAGCATATTTTAATTATTTACTTAAATTTATTCCCATATTATCATGTATAACAATAGGCTATCAAAAAGTGAAATTAAAAACCTGCAATTTTTTAGCTTATTTCTAAAAAAAAAATGACACAGAAGGGATTAATATTTTTTTTCTTATCCATCCTTATAAGCAATGTATTTTCATGCACTGTTGTCATTTGTTTACTTCTGGGATATGTGTAAACACTTTTTTTAGGCTACATTCTGTTTTTCAGGAAAAACGAATTTATGACTTGAAGAAAAAGAACCAAGAACTAGAGAAGTTCAAATTTGTTCTTGATTTTAAAATCCAGGAACTGAGACGACAGGTGGAGCCACGTGAAGAAGAGATATGCAACATGAGGATACAAATCCAGGATGTGAGTGTTGTTCTATAAAGCAGTAGCAAGAGTATTTCAAATATGTAAAGATAAAATGTAAACATTAGTAGAACTACACAGCATTGATCATAATTGTTTTTAAAAACTACGAAAATGTGTCCGTACGTCTGTCATTATCGATGAACATGGACCATTTTTGGCAGGACAATTAGGAATAATTTTCTACTTATGTCTACCAAATTTCATAAAAATCTGATAATTTTGGACTGAGTTATAGATCAAAAATAGTGTGAAAATTCAGTTCCCATGTTAACAGATAGGAATTTTTTGTATTTTCGTAACCTTTGCTGTGAACCTTGACCCTCAAAAAACTAATCGCTTCTAAGTTGGGTCATAGTCCAAATGTATACCAACATTCGTCCAAATCCACGTGGCTGTTTTTGAGAAATCTTGCTGACAAACACACAGGGTGAAAACATAATCTCTGGGTGAAGGTAACAAACTTTTTTAATCGTTCTTTATTTAAGTGCTGTACACAGTGTGAATATGTTACAAGCCCTTTTTAAAACTCTCTCTTTAATTATGAAGTATCAATGATGTAAATGGCTTGCCACTTTGTTCGTGTTTATGGATATCATTGATTTCAATCCCATATTTTTCCAAAGACTAAAGAAAGTTGGTTCGAAAGAGGGGATAAAGACTTGATGGAGAATATTTAATTCTACAAAGTAGAGATTTATATAGAATAATAGAGTTTTTTTAGTTTTGAGTAAGCTTTTTTTTTATACCTCGTTCATGGGTGTGTCATTTCTCTTTCATTACTTCAGTTATTTTACCAATAATGTTTCAGTAATATACAAAACATGAAATTGTACATATGTAGCAATTTATCTTAAGTTCTAACAGAAGAGAAGTTTCAGATGGAAAACGAGCTGGCAAAGTTTCACCGAACCAACACGCACTTAGAGCTCAATATATCAGAACTTCAGCAGAAGTTGAAGGTTACTGAAAAGGATCTGAAAAATGAAAAACTGAAGGTGCTGTCATCTAAATATTCATTTTAAATTTTAATTACTTTAATCTTTGTCTCCTTCCCCCTATAATTAACGTAATTTGAGAAATTGTTTTTAGCTGTTATGATGTTCTTGTCTATGTGACTTTTACCGTGTAAGCTGTATTTTAAAAAGTGTATTAATTAAAGGAAAAATATGATATAGGACATCTTAGTTATAAAGAAGATTGAATAAAAATGTTTGATCAAGCTCATAAAAAAATAAAGTCAAATAAATAACTTAACCAAAATCTATAATCCAGAATCATTAAAAACAATTAATGTACAGGTTATAGTTTCAAATACAAGTAATTTTCCCAGATAATGTTTTGTATATGTTTTCCAAACATAAAAATAGAATCTCAAAAGGTAATTATGTGATTCAACACTTGCATCTCCTTGAACTGAGTTTAGTACTGGTTGCACATCAAGAAACAGCTAAGACACTAACTTAAGGAAGTCTATTGTAGAACTAGTTTGAATTATAAATAATAATTGTATTATAACTTAAGGAAGTCTATTGTAGCACTAGGTTGAATTATAAATGATAATTGTATAATAACTTAAGGAAGTCTATTGTAGATCTAGGTTGAATTACAAATGATGATTGTATAATAACTTAAGGAAGTCTATTGTAGAACTAGGTTGAATTATAAATAATAATTGTATTATAACTTAAGGAAGTCTATTGTAGCACTAGGTTGAATTATAAATGATAATTGTATAATAACTTAAGGAAGTCTATTGTAGAACTAGGTTGAATTATAAATAATAATTGTATTATAACTTAAGGAAGTCTATTGTAGAACTAGGTATAATTATAAATGATAATTGTATAATAACTTAAGGAAGTCTATTGTAGTACTAGGTTAAATTACAAATGATGATTGTATTATAACTTAAGGAAGTCTATTGTAGAACTATGTTGAATTATAAATAATAATTGTATTATAACTTAAGGAAGTATATTGTAGAACTAGGTATAATTATAAATGATAATTGTATAATAACTTAAGGAAGTCTATTGTAGTGCTAGGTTGAATTATGAATGATGATTGTATAATAACTTAAGGAAGTCTATTGTAGAACTAGGTATAATTATAAATGATAATTGTATTATAACTTAAGGAAGTATATTGTAGAACTAGGTATAATTATAAATGATAATTGTATAATAACTTAAGGAAGTCTATTGTAGAACTAGGTTGAATTATAAATGATGATTGTATAATAACTTAAGGAAGTCTGTTGTAGTACTAGATTGAATTATAAAATAATAATTGTATTATAACTTAAGGAAGTCTATTGTAGAACTAGATTGAATTATAAATGATAATTGTATAATAACTTAAGAAAGTCTATTGTAGTACTAGGTTGAATTATAAATGATAATTGTATAATAACTTAAGGAAGTCTATTGTAGTACTAGGTTGAATTATAAATGATGATTGTGTAATAACTTATGGAAGTCTATTGTAGAACTATGTTGAATTATAAACTACAATAGACTTCCTTAAGTTATTATACAATCATCATTACTAGGTGGAATTATAAATGATAGTTGTATTATAACTTAAGGAAGTCTATTGTAGAACTAGGTATAATTATAAATGATAATTGTATAATAACTTAAGTAAGTCTATTGTAGTACTAGATTGAATTATAAATGATGATTGTGTAATAACTTATGGAAGTCTATTGTAGAACTATGTTGAATTATAAATGATGATTGTATAATAACTTAAGGAAGTCTATTGTAGTACTAGGTTGAATTATAAATGATGATTGTATAATAACTTAAGGAAGTCTATTGTAGTACTAGGTTGAATT